AAGAAATAGAATTATCCTCCGTTTAGCGAAGCACACGGAATTAGTTGACCTGGCACCATTTTGTTTAGGTTTTGTTCGCGACAACTGCATACGTAAACGGGGCCTAAGGCAAGTATGGAAGATACCAAAGAGAGACCAGAGAGCGAGACCAGAGACAGACATGGAGGGAACAGAGAGAGATTAGAGACTTCAGAGAGAGGCCTGATAATGCAGACAGACCAGAGAGAGAACAGGGAGAGACCAGAAACTAAAGGGAGTGAGAGCAGAGAGAGATCAGATAGAAACCAGAGAGAAACCAGATAGAACCCAGAGAGAGACCAGAGAGAACTCAAAGAGAAACCAGAGAGAGACCAGAGAGATACCAGAGAAATAGATAATTTTACTGTACAAACACCAGGATCACAGAGCAGTTGCAGTTGTCGTAAATCCACTCCCATTGATATTTTTGCAGTGCACAGCCGTAGACAGAGCCTCGTTAGCCCGTTAGCCGCCGCGTGATGCTAAGCTAACACCCAGAGCCAGAGGCCGAGGGGAGGAACTGGACAGCGCGTGGGGGAGGAGGGAGCTTGTTATTGGGGTGAGGTGCTGGGCTCAGAGGCCTCTCCTGGAGCTCTCATTACCACGAGGAAAACCCCAATTAGAGCAGAGGAGACGGTAGAGAGGGGAGGCTACAGGGAACCAGGGAGGAGAGAGAGGGGAGGCTAAAGGGGACCATGGAGGAGAGGGGGAGAGAGGGGGAGAGAGGGGAGGCTACAGGGCACCAAAGAGGAGGCCACAGACACACTGAGGCAGTTTGCTCTGTGTGAGAGGGAGGATTCATAAGTGCAGCTTACAGACCATTGTGTGTGGGTTTAATGACTGGAAATGAGGATTAAGACATTATTTACTTGTATTTTTTGCATAATTTACACTCGAACCGTGAGAGACTAGCGAGAGACCGAAGAAAGACCAGAGAGAGACCAGCAAGAGACTAGAGAGAGACCTGAGAAACACCAGAAAGAGAGAGAGACCATAGTAGCTGCATTAAGTCGCATTATTCAGCGTCTCTGTGGATCTGTCCTCACTTATGGACCTCATGTTGATAAAAAGTTCAGAAAAAAATGGTTTTGAGGCTGATAAGTACGTCCTCAGCTCTGGGACAATACACCAAACAACTCTCTCTCCACACGCCGCTACGATTATTTTGCACTAAAGTCGAATTAAAGTCCACCATAACGACCGGAGTTATGAAAAGCCAACGCTTTTGATTTCTTCCAGATTTCTGCACTCAACCTGAAAAACTTTGACCCAGGAATCAGGAGAGAGGCCAGACAGAGAGAGTGACCAGAGAGAGACCAGAGAGAGATGGGCCATGAGAGCAGGACCAGGCCTTTCTCTGGGTCTCTCGCTCTGGTCTCTCTCCTCAGCTCTGGTGTTATTAGAAGGTGCCACGTTTAGCCGTTAACCTGTCACTGTCCTGTAAATCTGAAGCCCTGTAATTACACTAAACAAAGCGGTCGTGACGGTGCGGATCCCGTTCCGCCGGATTTTTAGTGCCGCAATCTTTGCCCAAAATCAAACACACATTTCCCATAAAGCCCTGTGCTTCCTGCCGCGCCGAGGATGTTGATTCCTGGGTCAAAAGTTTTCAGGTTTAGTGCAGAAATCTGGAGGAAATCAAAGCGCTGGCTTTTGATAACTCCGGTCGTTATGGCGGACTTTAATTCGACTTTAGTGCTAAATAATCGTAGTGAGTGAGCGGCGTGTGGAGAGAGAGTCGTTTGGTGTTCTGTTCCAGAGCTGAGGACGCACTTTTCAGCCTCAAAACCACTTTTTCTGAACATTTTATCAACATGAGGTCCATAAGTGAGGACAGATCCACAGAGACGCTGAATAATGGGAACTAAGGCAGCTACTACAGCTACTATGGTCTCTCTCTGGTCTCTCTGGTCTCTCTAGTATTTCTAGTCTCTCTCTGGTCAATCCTTGGTTTCTCTCTAGTGTCTCTCTCTCTCTGGTCTCTCGCTCCCCTGGTCCAGGCCTCTCTCTCTAGTCTCTCTCTTGCCTCCCCCTTCCCTGGTCCAGGCCTCCCTCTCTGGGTTCTCTCTTAATGGCCTCCCTCTCCCCTGGTCCACGCCTCTCTCTCTCGAGTCTCTCTCTTGCCTCCCCCTCCCCTGGTCCAGGGTCTCTCTCTCTGGTCTCTCTCTTGCCTCCCTCTCCCCTGGTCCAGGGTCTCTCTCTCTGGTCTCTCTCTTGCCTCCCTCTCCCCTGGTCCAGGGTCTCTCTCTGGTCTCTCTCTTGCCTTCCCCCTACCCTAGTCCAGGCCTCTCTCTCTCTAGTCTCTCTCTTGCCTTTCCCCTCCCCTGGTCCAGGCCTCTCTCTCTCTTGCCTTTCCCCTCCCCTGGTCCAGGCCTCTCTCTCTCTTGCCTTTCCCCTCCCCTGGTCCAGGCCTCTCTCTCTCTTGCCTTTCCCCTCCCCTGGTCCAGGCCTCTCTCCTCTCTGGCCTCCCCCTCCCCTGGTCCAGGCCTCTCTCTCTCTCTTGCCTTCCCCCTACCCTAGTCCAGGCCTCTCTCTCTCTCTAGTCTCTCCCTCCCCTGGTCCAGTCTTTTCTCTCTGGTCTCTCTCTTGCTTCCCTCTCCCCTGGTCCAGGCCTCTCTCTCTCTCTGAACTGAAGGTGGAGGCCTGTATAAACACGGAAGTCATTTTGTGAGCTGTTTTTCGGGTCGTCCCAGTAGACGGGTGAGGAGGGTAAGGAGGGGGAGGAGGAGGGGGAAGTCGATTAGACGCTAAGTGCTAAATTGGTCCTGGCCTGGCTCGGTCTGGCCTTCCGGTCCGCAGTGATGTGGTGGAGCGTGCGGAATGAGCAGAAGGTTAAATAAACAAAGCTTTAGAAGAAGCAGAGGGAAGCATTTTAAGGCGACACCAGAGGAAGTCCACAGGAAGCTCACTCACTCACTTTTCCCCTTTTCATCCGGAAAAACGAGAAATTATTGTCAACAAATGGAAGAGTGTGTTTAGTATCATTCACACCTGTTTGACTGAGCCGTTCATAAAGCCAACACATGTTTAAAGCTGGGGTTCCTAACTTTCAAACTCTGTAAAAGAATCCAGGTCGTTAGTTTCATGTGTTTTTGGTCTTGAATCTTTAGATCAGCTTTTCAGAAAGAAATGTGAAAAAGGGAGACCAGCAAGAGAAACCAAAGAGACCAGATAGAAAGTGACAAGAACAAGAGAGAGACAAAGACAGGCCTCTGGTCTCTCTCTTTCTTCTCTCTCTGGTCTATCTCTGGCCTCTCTCTCTGTTCTCTCTCCTTCTGGTTTCGCTGGTCTCGCTCTGCTCTCTCGCTCTCTCGTCTCTCTCTTTCTGGCCCCTCTCTGCTATCTCTCTCTCTCTAGTCCTCCTCTCTGGTCTCTTTCTGTGCACTCTCTCACTCTTACCCTCTGTCTCTGCTCTTTCTCTGGTCTCTCTCTTGTCTCTCTCTCCGGTCTCTCTTTCTCTCTGCTCTTTCTCTGGTCTCTCTCTTGTCTCTCTCTCTGCTCTCTCTGCACTCTCTCTGGTCTCTGGGCTCTCTCTGCTCTGTCTCTCCCTGCTCTCTCTCTGCTCTCTCTCTGGTCTCTCTCTGCACTCTCTTTGGTCTCTCTCTCTCTCTACCTTCATTACATTTGTCTGTATATTGTGACCCTCTGAACAATAACACAATTTAAAACTCCACATTCCGGTTTGTTTCATAACAACAGCAGCAGAATTATCAAACCAAACCTGGAACATTGAACAGATCTCTTAAACGTCATCGTCATTTGTTCGTTCGATTATTGCGGCGACTGTCCCAGTGTTTGGATGAGGCCAAGGTCAGAGGCGCCCAGTTCAGATCCATTCAGGCTCTTATTGTTCCGGATCTGAGAGCTCTCCAAGCGTCTGCAGAGAAACTCAAGTTCAGGAAAGCAGCTCTCAATGTGGACAAAGAACTGAGAGAAAGGACACAGCAACAGCAGCGATAATGAGTCCAGAGTTCAGCTGAGACCAGAGAGAGACCAGAGAGAGACCAGAGAGAGACCAGAGAGAGACCAGAGAGAGACCAGAGAGAGACCAGAGAGAGACCAGAGAGACCAGAGAGAGACCAGAGAGAGACCAGAGAGAGACCAGAGAGAGACCAGAGAGAGACCAGAGAGAGACCAGAGAGAGACCAGAGAGAGACCAGAGAGAGATCAGAGAGAGATCAGAGAGAGACCAGAGAGAGACCAGAGAGACAAGAGAGACCAGAAAGACCAGAGAGACCAGAGAGAGAACAGAAAGACCAGAGAGACCAGAGGGACCAGAAAGACTAGCGAGTCCAGAGAGAGAGACAAGAGAGCCCAGAAAAACCAGAGAGACCAGAGAGAGACCAGAGAGAGACCAGAGAGCCGAGAAAGACCAGAGAGACCAGAGGGACCAGAAAGACTAGCGAGTCCAGAGAGAGACCAGAGAGAGACCAGAGAGACCAGAGAGACCAGAGAGACCAGAGGGACCAGAGGGACCAGAGGGACCAGAAAGACTAGCGAGTCCAGAGAGAGAGACAAGAGAGGCCAGAAAAACCAGAGAGACCAGAGAGAGACCAGAGAGAGCCCAGAAAGACAGGAGAGACCAGAAAGACCAGAAAGTCCAGAAAGACTAGCGAGTCCAGAGAGAGAGACAAGAGAGACCAGAAAGACCAGAGAGACCAGAAAGACCAAAGACCAGAGAGGGATAGGCCAGAGGGATCAGAGATAGATCCCAGACCAGAGAGACTTGTGTGAGAAACAAGAGAGAGAGCCCCGAGAGACCAGAGAGAGACAGACGGGCAAGAGAGACCAGAGACAGAGAGAGAGGGACCAAGGAGACCAGAGAGACCAGAGAGACCAGAGAGAGAGACAAGATAGAGGGACCAGAGATTGGCCGCAGAGGGAGAGAGAGTAGAGAGAGACCAGAGAAAGTCCAGAGAGACAAACGACTGATACACTTCTAAACTACAACTTTGAGCAGGTCTGTTGTAAGTGGACTCCACATGGTAGTCCCTCTGGTGACGCAGCTGGTTCTTGCGTCGAGGCAGTTTGAACCTCAGCCTTCCATGAAACAGCTCCTCTTCCTCCCTCACGGTCCATCTCTCCCGCAGTCTTCCCGGGGGGGAGGCTGGTGTGGGGTGAGGCTCTGATGGATGTCGCGGCGCGTTATGGGAAGCGAGCGTGTGATTTGTGCTTTTGTTTTGCTTCGCGGATCGTTCGCACTTCTTCACAGACGTCCACTCGTTCCTCTGTGTCTCTTCTCTTTTAGCAGCAGTTTAAATGTTTCTGCAGCTGCTATAGACCAGAGAGAGACCAGAGAGAGACCAGAAAGAGACCAGAGAGAGACCAGAGAGAGACCAGAGAGAGACCAGAGAAAGACCAGACAGAGGCCATAGAGAGACCTTTATTTGCCCTGGAATAGGAAAATGTCTGTCGTGCAAACAAACAAACTCGTGTAATAGCAGAGTTCATGTCTCTCTCTTTTTGGGATTAACTAAAGCTCGACCGTTTTGTTGATTCCTCACATTTTTCCTCTGAACAAAGATCTGTGGCTGTGTCTCTGGCCTCAGGGGGAGACCTTGACCGCGTCCCCAGGGAGGAGGCTGGCGTCTGGGGCGAGACATCTGGAAGTGGGCCCTGCAGCTCCAGGCCTGATTACAGCATCTCCAGAGGAAGTTTAGACTCTGAAGTTTAGACTCTGAACAACTCTGTCTCAGGTTTGGACTCAGGTCAGCTTTATTAATGAGAGAGAGAGGGACTAGAGACAAGAGAGAGAGACCAGAGAGAGACCAGAGGGAGAGAGAGTGAGACAGGATAGAGGCCAGAGAAAGGCCAACTATAGAAAGACACCAGAGAGACTAAATAGAGAGAGAGAGAGAGAGAGACCAGAGAGAGAGAGAGAGAGAGTGAGACAGGATAGAGGCCAGAGAAAGGCCAACTATAGAAAGACACCAGAGAGACTAAATAGAGAGAGAGAGAGAGAGAGACCAGAGAGAGAGAGAGAGAGAGTGAGACAGGATAGAGGCCAGAGAAAGGCCAACTATAGAAAGACACCAGAGAGACTAAATAGAGAGAGAGAGACCAGAGAGAGAGAGAGAGAGAGACCAAAGAAAAAAAAAGAAAGTGTTTTTAGCCTTCGTTATGCTTTTTCAGACATCTCCTCCTCGTCCTCCTCCATCTCCTCCTCCTTGTTCTCTTCCTCCTTCTTCCCCTCTTCCGCCTTCTCCTCCATCTCCTCCTCCTCCTAGTCCTCCTTTTCGTCCTCTTTCTCTTCTTCCTCATCCTCCTCCTCTTCCTCCTCCTCTTCCTCTGGGAAATAGCTGTAGGTGTGGATCCAATCAGGAATGCTCCAAACACAGCCGTGCGGAAGCTTTCGGACCATTTTGGGAATTTATTGTTGATTTATTGCACTTTCTCAACTCGCTGGAGCCTCGAGAGGCCAAGACTGAAACACAGACACGGACTTCAGTTTGAACTTTTAACAATATCTTAATCAAAGTCTTGTTTTAACTGCTGATCTGCCACAAGCAAGGAACAGATCCAGTTCAATGTGTTTGTGTTTTAGACATAAATCTCATCAGCAGTTCAGCAACAACAGATCAGAAAATCACACAGTTAAAAACAAGAAATACATTTATGACATAGGAGAGAGACCAGAGAGAGAAAGCAGAGAGACCAAACTGAGAGACCAGGAAGAGAGAAGAGATATAGTAGTGCAGAGAGAGACCAGAAAGATACATACAGGAGAACTGAGCTGTTTGAAGTTGGTGCCCGAAAAGACTTGAGGGACGATTTAAGAGAATGAGACCGGAAAGAGAGGGGCAAGCGATACGGAGAGGAGCAGGACCCATCAGATTCTACTATACTCGAGTGGAATAAGACGAATGCACCTCTTGACATTGTTATTAAACTCGCCCAAAGAATAGGTACAAGTAATTCGTCAAAAGGAAGGAGATGCCCTAAAAGCATTTGTAGTTCCAGAGTGGTCAATGCTCGAGAAGCCAGATAAATACAGAGGCCCCATCAAAAACTGGATTTGTTCCTCCATACTCGCCTGTACGCCATGGCTGCGAGATCCAGTTGTTTCCAAAGTCCAACAATGGTTGTCAGAGCCTAATGAAGGATCAATGTCAATGTCACAGGTCAATGCAGAACCTCTGAGGGAGCCCGACAGAGGAGAGACCAGAGAGCGAGCTGAGATAGCTAGGATCCATGGACCAAAGAGAGAGACCAGGGCGGTCAGTGGTCGTTGTCGATAGGTTCTAAGCCTGTGGAATCTGGTCTTTGAAAGTGCAGGCCAGTAAAAACACGGCATTAGACTCTGATTGAAAGATGTTCACACTTGGTTCGCGTGCGGAACAGTTGATTGGTCTAAGCGTGCTAGTGTTGATGGAAGCGAGACCCAGACGCAACTTGCTGGGTGGTCTCACCACAGTCCTAACCTGAACTGAACCACTCGTTTGATCTATATAGGTTCCCCCTAAGTTTCCATGCAGATGGTGAGTGCGAAATATGGACGAAAAGGTGTATTTTGAAGTAGAGTCATATATTTTACTTGTCAGGCTAACATGTTCTTTTCTAAAAGAGGACTTCCAAAGAAAAAAAGAAAGAACCAGGATCTTTGGTCCAGAGAGATAGAATTTGGGATAATTCCTTTCCAGGGAGTTGTGTATAGGGAGGTATAGGAAAAACAGCTGAGCCGTCTCATTTATAACCATGTGTTGGCGAGTTTGTACTGACGGGAATCCGTGCGCCGGTGCCCCAGTGCACACACCTAACATTAACGGCTTTAGTATCAATAAGCATGTATCAGCTTTATTGTGTATTTTCCGCAGCTTTTTTTACCAACGAGCGTGCATTATCGTGGTGCCCCCATGAACCTAACCATGCATCTAGGCACTCAGTGTGGGCTTCCTAAAGTTGACTTGGTGCTAATGGTTGTTTTGAGGAGTCTAGAGTCTCGCTGTCGTTGGTGATTTTGGTGGCCTCTCTGCATTGGTGTTCGGTGGGTCAGCTTTCGGGTGACGACTTCCATGATGGAGGAATATAAACAAGGGCAGCAGACGGCGCTTTCCTAATAAATGAGTTCCTGTTGTTGCGATTTTACTGCTCTTGGTACGCGCCACTTCCAATGTATACTGTAGTGGGCTAAGCGGTTTACTTTGTTTTTTAGGTTGATTTATTTGTTTGCTCTGATCTTTTCACTTGCTGTGTGTCAGCATCACAGGCAACAAGTTACAGCTTCTCCGCTATTGATCCCCTTGCCCTGAAGGGAAAACTCGGCTTTCTTCCGGGATGGGAAAGGGTTATTTTTGTAAATGAAAGGTTCTCACAACTAACCTTTTTAAAGGGAATTTACCGGAAGATTGAGAAGGGAGATATGGGAGGAGTTGTCTTGTTATTTTTGGGGGCCCATGTTGGGGTTGCTCACACCTGCCTATATGCTCACAGCACCCACAAGCACCATAATCGGAAACACTTCTTAGCGGGGGCGCCTAAAGTGACAGATTTATGCAGACAGTGGTGCAGTGCCAGAGAGGTTCATAATTCCATGTAATGGGATTTCACAATGTCTTATTTTTAAAATGGAAAGCCCATGCCTTCCCACAGAAATGCGGGGTCGTTCCTCTAGCTAGCAATGGATTGCAACTCGCTAAGCACAGGCTTTTCGGATAAACGCGTCAGTTCACAGTCAAGTTAGCGAACCTGGCACATGCTACCCCCGACTGTTATACCGGCGTGAAAAGCGAAAAACCAGCCTCAAAGTTCTCCCGAAATGTGACGATCGTCTCTCACCCATCCTAGACTGGTATCCTTTCATCATCTCTACATTTCTTTTTAACTTGATGGACATCATCTTAAGACAAGTAGTGACTTATACAGCGAGGACACTGCTAACCCAGCCGAGTGTTATCCAGGAAATGCGGTCCCATGCTAACATATGTAAGTATACAGAATACGCAGTACTGTGACCAATCGAACCATTACAAGTATATACTGTCAACTTGTCTCCATTTGCTGTTAACATATCTGGGCTCAGTTATAACAGTTTAAATTTTTACACTTACTTAATCAAAAATAAATCAGGTTTCTTAAGCGTATGGGTTATGGTACTAATTTTACCACAGACTTTCAAATATTTTCCTAGCATTACACAGCAACTAACTTCTATATACAACTGAAGTGTGCCCACTTAATATAACTAACCTAATGATCCGTCACGCTGAAGGCACGAAGAGTACTGAAAGCCTCATAGACCTCGTTCAACTCAGCCTGCACTGGACAATGCTACTAACATCGATGTTGTCTAAAGAGCCTATGATGGGTAGATTGAAATGACTCTCACATCGTTGAGTACCTTAGTGTATAATTTAAATAGCATGTAGGTACCGGAACCTTTGACATATAAACAACTTCAGTGACTGTGATACGACTAATACAGTATCTGGGACAATCATTATGCTACACCTAGACTGTAATCAGTAATGGCCATTGTAACATTAGGATTAAAGTAGTAAATCAGTTTATTAACATTAAAAAGAGATACGTACAAACTGTGGATGGCCACTTCTAAAAACACATCGTATGTTGACTGTTTAATATGCGATGGAGGCCAATTAGTACTAATAACCTAGACTAGATTATTACAAGATCCGTCTTATAGGAATATGTCTTTTAACGAAGCATTATAATGTGACACGATAGTAAAAATTTATGTCCAAATAGAAATCGCCCAAATAGGGAAAACATATGCCTCATTGAACAACGATATTTATCATCCAAATATTTTGGATACTACTACTTAATTCTGTTAAGTGGGCATTGTACCCGGTATTCATTGTTAGAGGATACCTGAAGCTTTGCGTTCTTGTTTGTGCATCTGGTCTGTATATTAGTGATGTATAGAGTTTTCCCAGCACCTTATTTCCATCTCGGTTTACCATTAAGTGGCAGGTATCACGGTCACCCTATATTCCTCAACTTGCTATACCATATCAAATATAACCACAACAAAACATCATATTCCCCCCCCCCCCCCCCCCCCCCCCCCCCTCCTTCATAATTACAATCACTCCCCCCCCCCCCTACCCACCCCCCAAATCATACCCACCTCCCACCACACCCCTCCTCCCCCTTTCGTGTCCACACTCACCCCCCCTACCACACTTTCCCCTCCAACCATTCGATATTCTCTATAACTCAACACTCATACCTACCTAAAACCCCCATAATATCCTCATCTTATCCCCACCCCCATATCCTACGCCATTCCTTATACCTGAGAGTTATATTACATTTATATGATGTAGTTGGTTTTTTTTTAGACAATAAAAAAATTATTACATTATCACATTTATCTTGTATCACATAATTATTATAATTACCTATTTATAATATCTAACTACTATATTAAATAAAATCAACACACACATATATATATATATATACAAAAACCATACATTTATTTTATCTTTATCAAGAGTTGTCTATATTATTGAATATGATTATATAGATTATTTATATAATAAAGTATATCGTATATTTTACAAGCAGATTTATATGGATAAACCTATACCAATACTACATCTTTCCAGCATTCTATTATTACCTCTTTTTTTGTTCCCTGCATATAACCCCTACATACCTCCTCATACTTCAATCATCAACCACTAGGTAGAAT